AAATGTGTTGTCTGGAACTATAAGTACAAGAGGCTTAGCACAAGAGCTTTTAAGCACATAGTAACTTTTGGCTTAACTGTGAACTTTTCTCTGTTTTGAGAATATTCACATTTAAAATAACCCTGGGGTTTTATAAGAGTAGAAAACAATAATTTATAGTTTAACTCAGTCGCTCCTTGGATTTCAGGATAATTTTTGTTAGTTTCTAGCATCTTATTCAAAAAGAGAACATATACACTTCGAAGGATCAAATTTCAGCTGCTAAACCACTCAGGATGAATTTCTCTGCTGGTTTGAATAAAAGTCTTTCAATTTTTCTATGCTTAGTTTATCACTTAACAAAATTCTAAATGTCTTGTCTATTGCAGAACTAGTGAGAGACAGCTTTATAAAAGGATTTCTTTTAAAAGAGTAATAAAGAAGTTTGATTCATAACTTGAGTGTGGAAAAAATGCTATTTCATACCATAGTGAAAATAGCAAAATTTTGCAAAATTCTCAAATCAAATCTGAGTATGAATATTCTGCTGAAAGTCAAGTTCTGACATTTAAAATTAAAGGACTTTTCACATAATACAAAATCAGTGGTCAAAGAGCAAAAAAGTTTAATTAGTTTTGTATCATCTCAAAAATTAACACAAATTCTTAAATGTAATGTTTTATATCAAACTGGTCAGTTTAGATGTTTTTTCACATTATAATTAGATTTTCTATGCAATGTTTATTGCAGACAATTTTTTTCAGCAGTTTGCTATGGGCTAGGATGATAGGGTTGAATAAGCAACAATTAACAATTCTTAGGGAGGTTTTTGGCTAGTATGAAGGGATATTTGTTTAAGAAGCAATTATTTGATTAAGCCTCGAAATGGAAATCTGCACCATTCAGCCCAGACAGCTAGGTATTGAGAAATGATCAGAAAGAAGATTACCATACCCATCTTCTGCTTTTCCACCTGGTGCTACTCATTCTCCTGCCCTGGTCGGATTGCTCCTCTTTCTAATAGAATCTTTGTTGCTTATTGTGCTATTTGCTGAATTGAAGGAATATTGTGTAATTCAGAGATTGTTCTTATTGCTTTTAAAATAGTAATTGGTTTCTCCAATTTAATTTATAAACAAAACCATAATACATACAATGATTTTTTTCAGAGTCCAGGGGGTGCTTAAAAATATTTAGACCTAAATATGATTCTCAAAAATACTGTTTGTTGACTTTTAGTCAAAAAACAATGCCAGAGGCTCACAATGTAGCTGTCCATTTTTCTAAAGTTACTTGAAAAGTCAATGAGCTTAGACCTTGTAATAATTCAAGGCAGAATATAAACAGTATTCTATAGATAGATGAAAAGTCCATCATATTAAACTTATATTTAAACCTGTGTGCAAAAACTGATTCCGTAACAAAATATTTGCAGGCTCACAATGTTTTTTCAATCTTGTAAATCAAACTCTACCATGCTGATGTATTCAAGAGATTGAAACATATGGCTTATCTCATTCCTGCCAATTTGTTGATAGAGGAGCAATAGGTTTCAGAGCCCCACAAAGAGTAACTTATCTAATGATCTCCTGCTGAAACAATTTCAAGTAAATTATACTGACATTTTAGTCTAGGCTCATACTGCCCAATTTTATAGCATGAAATGTTATAGTGAAGCTTGAGATGTAAAATGTCCCTCAAAGGTCTCATTTCAGAAGCGGGCCTTTTGGGAAGAGATTAGATTGCAAGGTGCTATAATCGCCTGTAAACTGCACCATTGCTGAGTTTCTGACTGACTACAGTGCTTGAAGGAGAGCCCTAACTGGAAGAGGCAGATCAGGAGAAGGACCTAGAATGCACCGGGCTTCTCCTCCTCGGTCTGTCCCTGGCCACCACTGAGCAGCTTTCCTCTGCAATGGTTCCACTGTCCCATGCCATTTCTGCCTTGGAACCAGCTCACCATGGGCTGAACCTTCGGAACCCATGAGCCAAGATAAACCTTTCCTCCTTTAAGTTGTGAGTGGTGGGTATTTTGGCCCAGCAATGAGAGAGCTGACATTTACATTTTTCAACTTTGAAACTATTATACTCTTTAGTTGAGTACTCCTATGGTCACTTCATTCAAATCACTGCACTCTATTTCAAAAATATAATTATAAAATTATTAAATGAAAGCTAATAGCAGAAAATAAAATCATTTGAAAATGTTCATTGGAGTACATAGAATCCGGGTAGCGTAGAGAAACTACAATTGGCCATTACTTGATATTTGGAAATGGATTTGGGGAACATGGGCTCATTATGCTGGTTTAAAAACTTTTGTATATGTTTGGAGTTTTTCTCTAGTAAAGGTTTATTTTGTATTTGAGACAAATCAAAAGAAGGCATTAAGTGTATTTTAGTGAAAATGTGTCTGTCTGGATTTAAAGTGGTTTTACTCTTGCAGTTTTGATGTGGCCTCCTTATGATCTGCACTTTGGTCTCTGCACTGACTCCTTCCTTAACCTATGTGGTTTTGAAAGCTAAAATACAAGCAGAGGTCAAATCTGGTCACCTCTGCAAATGATCTCCATAACTTTGTGGGTGATACTGTTCTTGGGAGGATGCACTTGGCAAAGTGGTTGAAAAGGCATTTGGTTTTCCACTGAAGAGTTTGTGATGAATATAAATTGGCATGAAAGCTTAAGATTAGAGAAGCAAAGATGGAACCTCGAGGGAGAAGCACGCAACTGCTGTGATCCTGAAGTTTATGTCCATCACAGTTCTCTACAGGTGGACCTCACAAAATGTGCTCTTTAAAGCACATTCTACCTGGGAACAGGATCTTTAGCATTATAATGGCATGCATTAGCAAATGGGTAGGTTTGGGGGTAAAGGAGGATGCAGGCAGGGGAGGCTCAGGGAGGGAACTGAGGCACAACACAATGAAGGTCTATAAGGACTGTGGCCGCAATACATCCATTCCATTGCACACAGCCAGAGTAGACAAGCCAGCCCTGTTCAAGATGTGACCCTGTGGAGGAACGAGCAGTCTGTCAGATCACACAAATGGGGAACGCAGAGCAGTCAGGGACCAGTTCTGAACTTAGTGAAGGAAAAGTGTCTGAGGAAGAAAACTGCTGACAGACCAGACTGGTGGCCTCTGGGAGGAGTAACAGAACCCTAAGAAAAGCTCTGTAATTCATACTTGTTATGCCTTGGATGGTCCAATCCAATCCTGCAAGCGTGGTTTTGTTTAGGATGAAAGATTTAAGAGAACATAAAGAAAATGAAGAAAGTAGTAGAAAGATCTGCTACAAAATTTTTAACCTAACTTACAGTTGATATCGTACAACCTTCTTTTCCCTAAGCTTAAGGATCTACAAGGTTCTGAAACTTTGAGAACTCCAAGGAGAGAAACATCTGAACAGCTTGGGGAGTTTTTATTGATTGTTTAGACGTATTCTTTTCATTTTCCCATCCCATTATTAGTCAGCAAATATTAAATAAGTACCTCCTAAATGCTAGTCATATAGATGAAGGGATAGAGCAACACATAGAAATGTACTAAGAATTCAATATCTACTTGTAAATATTGACAAATTATTAATTGAGACCATCTATTCTAGGTTGGACAGACATCACACTAGCATTGTAGTTGACATGGAATTTTATTCCAGAAAAAAAAAACGAAAATTAATTATAAAGAAAGATTAGGTGGCCCGAATGAAATTTTGCCACAAGATTTTTGTCTGAAGAAATAACTGTACTAATAAGTAAAATCATATGTGTAGAGCAAACAATATTTCTTTTATGTAAAAACACAAGGACAAACTCACATTTTAATAATCCTAGTTATGATACAAATGAATAATTATCCCTCCAACAGTAAATAAAGTATAAATTAGAAATTAAACCTCTTTCATTGGGCCAAAAATGTGGGATGTTAGCTTATAACTGTTTGCCAAATTATTGTCATATAATCTTGTTATCTTACAACTTTCACTTATATTCCAATTTTAAATAAGGTAATATCAAATCAAAGATTAAATACATGTATATATATGTACATATCAAATACTACATTTATAGTTCACTTATTAACTGCACATGATAGGTCCTAAATAAATATGAGATGAATGAATAAAGGTGAATATCTAAAACAAATTACCAAATCTTCTTTGCATATTGCTAAAAAATTTTATTATCAAAAACTTAGTAAAGTGAATCAAGAGTCACAGTAAGCGAAATGTAAGATGCATCACTGCATGTTGAAGTCTTTATTTCCTCTTTATTTTTATTCTAAAGAGTTAAATACATTTCATTTGTCATGTTTTCTTGTACCCCATTTCTTTAATGAGAAAACTGTAAACAAAGGAGAGGAAAAGAACGGCAGCTAAACACCGAAGAGGAGAGGGAAGGAAGATTCACAGTGCAGCTCTCTTACTCTCTCTTGACAGCGGCTGTCATTTCCTACCGAGGCCACTCTGGTGTGAGGCCGCCACAGTGCTCCAAGGCCTCTCCAGCTGGAAACTGTGGTCCCGGGCTAGTTCTATATGAGTCCTACTCAGTGACTTTCCCCTGCCACTTTATTCACGTTATTGAATAATAACATTCATTGTTATTGGTGGGATGCCTGAACATCCCACCAATTCAAAGGATGATAATACAGAAATAACTTACTAAGAGATTCTAAGTGTTCAAATTCCAGTAACAAACAAATATAAGATAGTATTTCATGGTAACATTACAATCAGGTAAAATAGTTTTTTGGAATCTTTATCTTGTATTTTAACTTACTTCAGTCTCCTCTCTCTCTCTCTCTCTCTCTCTCTCTCTCTCTCTCTCTCTCTCTCTCTCTGTTGTCTCAGCAAGCCTCATTCTCTCCAATTCCCTCAATAATTTTATTTCTCATCGAAACTTCTGAATGCTATATTCAATATTACTATGTTATTAATTGTTTTTACACCTCCCCCCCTTCTCTGGTTACGTATGTCTTTGAAATAGTACTTTGCAATAATTTATTTATTTTTTTTCCTAAGAGCCAGGGAAAGCTCTGGAAACCAAACAAGATACTATAAAAGTTGCAGCACAAGGTACGTAATAAACTGAAAATCCAATTGCTTTTCTCCCTCCATAAGTGTATAGTACTTTGTTGACCAAGGCAAAAGCTGTTTATTGCAGAATAGCACCATCTGCTGGGTTATTACAAAAATCATGATGTGACGGCATGAAGATAACACTTGCAAGTAATCATTTGGTAATCGGACCAGGCATTACAGACTAAGGCAAATTTGCAGAGGAATTGCAGAAGGAAACAAAAATGAGGATCTTGGCTCCAAATTTCAGTCACTGAGCTTTTAAGTATATCCAAAATACTACTGGGGGACCAACAGAACTGGTGAATTCTCAAACCATGAGGGGTAGTTTGATGAGAACCTAAGGGAAGGGCACAAATGCTTTGCGTGGTCACTTACAAATCTCTAGATGACACACTGTGCAAATGAAAGGTCTGATGTTTATCGGAGAAGATCTGTATCTTCTCTCCCCTGCTGGACTGCACAATCCTGAGCAACGGCAGCGATGCGCTGAGGCAGAGGGACCTGCGCCTCCCGGAAGCCAGCTCCTTGGCCTCGTTGAGATGTGGTGTAGGATTTCATGGACTGCATCCAACCCACAAGTTGTCTATGAGCAATGTGCATTGGGACCATAAAGAGCGAGGCGCCAGTTTTTAGTTTTCATCTTGATTACCAGTTCAGTAAAGCAGGTCTTCCTTGGGAAAGTTCTGAGGGGAATGTAGCAAATACGGGAGACAGGAAAATAAAACAAATACATGTGGAGTGCAGCTCACATTAGATTCCTCAAGCAAACCTTGGCCAGTTTAAAACTCATTGATTTATAAAAGTGCAAATTACACATTTTTCTGCTAAAATGATAAATCACCCATGCTCTTTCTGTTCTGACTGAAACTTCTGTGGAACATGGTGTAGATGTGCAACAATAGCTCCAGGCGGGAATTTAGTTTTACTTCAACCTCTTATTAGGAGTTCAAAGGGAGAAACTGGAGATATTTGGAAATTTCCTTCAAATTTGAGCTTGAGGCTATGATTTTTTTAACATTCATACTACATCCAACAAGACAGCCTCTGAACTTACTCTTTTGGAATAAAGGAATTATTTTTGAGTGAGTGGTAGCCTAGTCATAAATTCGTATTAGGACGATGCTTGAAAGGAAGTTGGATGGAAATGTTGATTAAGCACACACAGAAAGGCAAGAGTGAGGTACCGTGAGCTCACTGTAATGAGGACAACGTACCAAGGCAGGAAAAAGCACCAGAACCTCCAGAGATCTCTCACAGACACATTTGGTAACACCCCAGGTACAAAACTAAATTATGCACACAAATATGGAAGTAACATTTTCAAGTACTTGATATGGAGATAGAACTTGTACAGAACTTACATACACTTGGGAATAATGCTACAGTAGACTGACGCTTTTGAAGGAACAAAATTAGTAATGCTTATAGGGTGATAAAAGCTACATCATATCTTTCCTTTATTTTTTACTTGTGGAAGAGAAAATATTTAATATGTAGATTTACATAAACAAATGTATTTCATTGGAATTATTATTAAGATTCTCATACTTCTTTGGAAGTATATTTTAAAAATTATTTTAATGAAGTTTTGAGGCAGGCACTAAGGAGTCTATGAAATAAATATCTCTGAGACTATGATTTGGAGATAAGAGAAATGTAAGGAATACGTAAATAAGATAGCTTGTAATAAAATCATAGACACTTCAACTATTATGTGATTGAAGACGAGGTAGTTGTTAGTAGATGTTGGTATCTGAGGGACTCTCAGTGGATGAGCAGGGAAGTGAGGGGCTTGGATGTGATTGGGAATCAGACTGGCTGAGAAGACAGCACTGCTAGTGAGGAGGGGCCATAACCAAATATGAAGAGTGAGGGACCTGTGAGAGTCTGTTGTTACTAACACATGAGACAATGGGCTTCAATGGGATCACGGAAGTGACTTAAGAAAAAAGTGCAAATATGATGGTCACTTTGAAGAGCTGAAGTTTGGTAGAGTACGAGGTTGAAACAACAGAAAGAGTGAGAGGGCACTGCCTGCAGGAGCTTGGGCAGCAGAAGCATGCTGACTCCTGTCCATGAGGCCCGGAAGACGAGAGCAGCTGGAAGGAAGATGCTGAGCGTTTTGGCAGATGATTACTGTCAACCAGACGGAGACTGATCCGGGCAGAGATTTTTCAGTAGCCCACTAGAATGCAGGTGGAAGTTCTACCTGATTCGTAGGTATTATATGATAGATAGTGATAGGAAATGGAATACAGACCCAGGTCAGAGGGGAAAGAGGGAAACATGGAGTCTTTAAAAGTCATTTCGGTGCAATGGACCCACTGACACCCGTTGAGACCAACGTGCCTGAGAGGCAGAAAGCAGCGCAGAACTCGGAGGAAAAAATGGGCCAGTCACATATTGTGCTAATATATTTCTACTCATGTTTTGTCCTCAATTTCTAAAGCAAACATTCAATATCTCCCATATACTACAGAAATAAGACAGAAAGGTACAAAAAACTTGAAAAAAACCTGGCAGTCTCATCACCACGAGATGGGAAACCGGAGCCCTGCTACTGAGAACCATGTCTGTTCGCCAAACCCAGTCATCGTTGAGCACACAATCCAGCTGAGTAGAGTAGAACCAGGCTGGCTGACATGAGGGCTCACAAAGGGACACACGGATGCAAGTCACAAAGCCATTCCAGAGAGCAGCTGGACCCCAGCAGTTTGGCTTTGTTGGGTTTCTGGGCCTGGCATCCAGCTTGGAGATCCAGGGCCTTCCAGATGGTGCTGAACAGCAGTCATCCATCTTCTGAGGACCCAGGGAAGCCTGAGAAGCTGGTGTGGACCACAGCGGTCAAACTCCTGCTGTGAACTCTTCACCATTGTCACTGCAAAGTGGAAACTGAAACTGTGAAGAAAATAAGAACGAGGAGGAAAATGTACATGCGTATTTTCTATACCGTATCTTCTTCCTGGATTGTTTTACAAATCAAAAATTTTTGACATAGCTACAAAAGATTTTGCTATTCTCTAAAAGAACTTAAGTTTCAGAGTCTTTCTTCCCTGTTGAATTCCTAAGAAATAATGGTTTTGCAAAATCTATTTGGATTCGCAGCCTTCTTTCTGTCTTCAGGTAAGGCATCAGTCACACTCCTTTAAGACGTGGGTTTATTGTGGTGAGAAAGAGTGGGCTTCCAGGACACCCACTGGCTGGGGACCTCTGAGGGCCCTGGATAGATGACAGCATCTTCTATTTGTAGTTTTGTGTTCTTATTTTGTCTTTCCTGAAAGAGTCTTCCACTTCTACTGGGTAATTCGATTTGCTTTGGAGAAGATATGAATTAAATCATGGGAAATATTGTGAGACAATTAGGCAAGAAAACTGCGTATCCTCCTCTTATATCTAAAAGGGCAATGCTGTTTCACCCCTTTTCTATTTTGTGCACACTTGAGAGAAAATGTGAATAATATGTGAATTCTAGAATAAAAATATATACATGCTGGATGATTTTGAAAATTATAAAAATTTTTTTTTAAAAAGTGTTGTCTGCAAAGTAAAGAATTAATAGCAAATGAGTTCAACTCACAGGGCATGCTGAAATTATCAGCCACGTGGCTTTGAAATCTACCAGGCAGTACCCAAATTTTGAATTCAATCTAGTTGTTATCTTCATTATATTGTTGGGATGGACAAATTTCTATAACTGAAGAAGCTCATGAATATAGATTCTTTATACGTTTTCTATATTATCAGTTAAAACTACATTAAAAAGAATGAAATGTCACAAAGTAGAAACAATATGTTTGTAAGCTCACTTTTTAAACTACAAATGTAACAGCAAATCAATAACATTTAGGAAATATAGAAAAATAACCTATACTAAATTAAAGTACACTAGATTTCTTTTCTGGCTTCTGTTCCTGGCTTCTGCACTCAGCTGGGCTACTTCTTCCTTGTGTGAACATTCCCACGTGACTTAAGTCCCTGACACTTGGTTTCTCCAGCTGCTTTTATTTAGCAGCTGTGAGCAGACTGGAGGATGGACTGAAGATGCCTTGGTGATGCTATGACCGTAGCATCCATGTCCAGAGCAACCCGTGTTGGCTCTAAGTGGCATTCAGCATTCTGCTTGAGACTGGCTGGGCCACTGAGTGCACAATCTCAGATTCAGTGAAGTGGCTCTAGACTTCTCTAAACTGAGTTTGGCTCCGTAATTATCTTTGAAGGAAACCAGGGTCCATCCCGCTAGGAACTACCCTGAGCCTGCAGACACCTCCTAAAGGCTTCTGTTGATACCTGTGAGCTGCAAGCTGGTTTCTGAACGTCACGAGCCAGAAGTAGACGAAACCACTGCAGAGCCAGTCAGAACTCAAAGCTGCTTAACGTATTCTGGGTCCTGTTTCTCTGTACAAAGGATGGCCTATTCTGTCTACAGAGGAGGGTAGGATATTTATTCCTCCTTTCTGAAACAGAATATTAAGATACTGTTAGAGCAATGCAAATGTAGAATCCACACTGATGTATAATTCTTCAGAATCTAGGTCTAGATAATTTGTAGACTATCACTTCCATTTTTTGATATATCAATTCATAGTCTTATATTTTATGATCTTCTAGGAGTATCTGTGGTTTTCTTCAATATAACTATCTCAAAGCTAAATTTAACTTACAATAAACATATGTCTATGAATTTGACTTCTTATCTGTATAATTCAATATATCATTTAGTCCATTTTTTGCCGCATGCTTATTTCTGAATTTTAAAAAATATTTATATGAAATACTATTTCAGATGATATTCTTAGTATAAACTTCCATGAGTTAATTACTACACAGGTGACCACTGAATTTATAAATGCATAGAGTATATTCTTATATTCTGAGAAGTATCCTAAGAAACGATCATTTAATATGTTTAACACTATTTCCTTTCATTATTTCAGCAGCAGCTAAAAAGGATGAGAAGAAGGAAGGTATGTTCAACACGCAATCCCACTGCACCTTTTGCAGGAACAACTTACCAATGTTCAGAGTTGGGTTTGGGCTACTCTCCTAGTTCCTTAGGGTATCACTGGATCTATTATGTGTATACATGTAGCACGAGTGGGCTTTTTCTGTCTCACCTCACACAAAATGATAAGCTAACTATTTAAAAAGTAGTTTTTGTTTGGTCTTCCTCAAGATAAAAAGGATAACACATAGCATCTTCAAATCCTCAGCCTCCTACTCTGTTGGCAATTTTATCAAATATCAACAATTTGTAAATACCTCATAGTAACTCCTTATATCTTTGACACACACAAGCAACTGATGTTACTTTGCTCTGTTGAGCTACAAATAAGTTATAGTCCATCCCTGGCAACCCACCTGCCTTTATCAGGATGGCCTGATACAGTGTTCAATAATCTCATTGCCAAAAAAATTTGCACTGGATGGAATTTTTTAAAGATTAATTTTATCGGTACATTTTAGGTATACAATATAATGGCATTCATCTTTGGAAATTTGCATCTTTACATAATCTCTCTTGGTTCTTATTTTTTCCCCATTCCCCTGCCCTCCATTCAACCCCTCCATCCCTCCCTATTTACAAAGACTTTGTTTCCATTTTTCCATTTTCTCACATTAATTCCATTCCCTTCTTTCCTTTCCCCTATCCTTCCCACTTCCCCTTCCCCTTTGCCCCTTTTCTTTCTATTTCACATTATCTATTATACCTTTTAGTCCTTATTTACACTTTTGGTTTCTCACACTAGAGAAACTATTTGGTCTTTACACATGTGTGTCCTATTTATTTCACTTAAGAGTATCTCCTCAATGGGCATCCATTTAGCTATAAATGTCTCTAATTTCTCATTTTTTATGGCTGAGTAGTACTCCATTTTATATTTTAAAAACCCCACATTTTCTTTATTCAGTCTCCAGTTGATGGGCAACTGGGCTGCTTCCAAGTTTTAGCTATTACAAATTGTGCTGCTATGAACATGGGTGCACATGTATCAGTGTAGTATGATTCTTTTAATTCTTTGGGGAAGATACCCAGCAGGGGTATAACTGTGTCAAAAGGGACTTCCAGTCCTAGTTCTTTGAGGTATCTCCATGCTGATTTCCACAGTGCTTGCACCAGTCCACACTCCTACCAGCAGTGGAGCAGGGTTCCTCTTTCCCCACACCCCTGCCAGCATTTGTTATTGGTTGATTTCATGATACCAGCCATTCTTTCTGGGGTGAAGTTGTTTTCTCAGCATTGTTTTCATTTGCATCTCTCAAATGACCAGTAATGTTGAACACTTTTTTATATGTTTACTTGCTATTTCTACTTCTTTGTCTGAGAAATGTCTGCTCATTTCAGATCCCCAGTTTTGAATTTGGTCTTTAAATTTGGGAGGTCTGATTTTTTTTTTTAAGTTCTTTATAGATTCAAGATAGTAGACCTTTGTCTGAGGAACAGCAGGTGAAAATTTTTTCCCACATTATGGGTTATCTCTTCATACTGTTGGTGGTTTCTCTTGCTGTGCAGAAGCTTTTTAATAAGAAGAGATCCCAGTTGTTGACTGGTTGTGCTAGTTCACAAGCAACTGAGGTTTTGTTCATAAAATTTTTTCCTACACCAATGTCTTCAAGAGTTCTACCTAACCTCTGTTCCAGCCAGTTCAGCATTTCTGTTTTTATATTTAGATCTTTAATCCATTTTGATTTTAGTTTAGTGCATGGTGAGAGATATAGGTCTAATTTTAATCTTTGGCAAGCTGAAACCCAATTTTTCCAGCATCATTTATTAAAGAGACTATCTTCCCTCCAGTGAGGGTGTTTGGCTCCTTTGTCGAAGATGAGGCGGCTGAGTGTGTCTGGAGTTATTTCTGCATCTTCTAATCTATTCCACTGGTCCTCAGGTCTGTTTCTTTGCCAGTACCGTGCTGTTTTTATCACAATAGCTTTGTAGTATAGTTTCAAGTGGGGGATTGTGATACCTCATGCCATGTCTCTGTTGCCTAGAATTGCTTTTGGTATTCTGGGTCTCTTCTTGTTTCAAATGAATTTTTGGATTGTTTTCTTAAGGTCCATGAAGTATGCTGCTGGAATTTCAATTGGGATTGTGTTGAATCTATATAGCAGTTTTGGAAGTATGGCCATTGTTACTATGTTGATCCTTCCTACCTAGGAGCAAGGGATGTCTTTCCATTTTCTGATATCACCTTCAGTCTCTCTTTTCAGAGTGCTATAGTTTTCAGAAAAGAGGTCTTTGATTTCTTTTGTTAGGTTGATTCCTAGGTATTTCAATTTTTTGGATACTATTGTGAAAGGAATTGTTTGCCCTATTTCTCTCTCAGTGAGTCTGTTGTTCATGTAGAAGAAAGCTATTGATTTTTGTGTGTTGACCTTGTATCAAGCTACTTGACTGATTTTGGTTATTAAGTCTAGAAGTCTTTTGGTGGAGTTCTTGGGGTCTTCTATATAGAGTATCATGTCATCTGCAAATAATGAAAATTTGACTTCTTCATTACCTATCTTTATTCCTTTTATTTCTTTCTCTTGTCTAATTGCAGTGGCTAATGTATCCAAAACTATATTGAACAGGATTGGTGATAGTGGACACCCTTGTCTCATTCCTGATTTTAGTGTGAAGGATTTCAGTTTTTGACCATTTGGTATGATAGTGGCAGTTGGTTTTTCATAGATAGCTTTTATCAGATTGAGGTAGAGACCATCTATTTCAATTTTTTGTAGGGTTTTTATCATAAAGGTGTGTTGGATTTTGTCAAATGCTTTTCCTGTATCTATTGAGATGATCATATGGTTTTTGTCCTTGGCTCTATTGATATAATGTATTACATTTATTGATTTGTGTATGTTGAACCATCCCTGCATCCCTGGGATGAATCCTACTTGGTCAGGGTGTATGATCTTCTTGATGATCTTCTGCATTCTGTTTGCCAGTATCTTATTAAGGATTTTTGCATCTATGTTTATTA